GACCCAAATCTGAATCTATCGAAATTCGAAACCTTAAATCCTACCTCTTTCGCTAACATAATATAAATTACCATCTTCTTACTCATTGCATGTTTGGAATGTGATTCAAGATAACTTGTTAATAGTTGAGTCGATGTTGCGATAAAATTGATAAACATTTTCTGAATTACATTTCACAGCAACAAAAGTTAAAGTTCAAAATAATCTGGTTAGTTTTGGTTACCATGATTTGTGATATTTGCTACTTACATTTACCTTTTTTTAAGTTTTTTTGGACTTTCACAAAGATGTAGTGAAAGGAGTTCACTGCATGTATTAAGCGGAAGTGGTTCATAAAAAGTTAAATCCGGAATGTGTGCACATCGTTATGAAGACTCAAAAACTTTGATAGTGAAGATTACTAATTTTTGCGTCAGTTTGTTTCTACCTGCGAACGAGTTTAATTTCAATTACTTCGAGTCAGGTTAGTTCACTCAACAACTTCTCTATCAACCTCTATCAGATTATCTTGTGCTTATCAAATTAGAATAAAAAATGCATATGGTTTTAGGTGGAATTGGAAAGCAACCGAGCAATTCCTCAAGAAAACGAAAACTCGAGCAATTGATTTATTCAACCTCGGTTGCTTGATAGCATAGATAATCATTGGAAAGCATTTGATAGAGCAGTTGGCTAATCCTTATATGTTTACACTAATGCATATTTTTAGGGCACGAAATGTGCAATTTGATTTGGAGATCATTGTGACTTCATGAGTAACAAATCATAGAGTTTTCTTTTTCTTTTGAGAAAGAACAAATCATAGAGTTATCAAACACAACACCATATCATAGCTTGTCCTAAACCATAAAGGGAACAAAACTTGTCCTAAACCGAATAACCTAATGTTCCATACGCTCCATCATACATGCTTCGAAAAACTGTCCTGAAAACCATCACCGACACCTTCATATCTCTGTGGACAATAATCTTGAGCACAAACCTTGATGTCTTCATCGAGTTGATTATAATGACTTAGTGAATTTCGCACTAGTCGTAGCAAATCACGGGCCAATGTGTAATTGTAAATTCACTTCTGCTTCGAAGGAGGTGGATCGTCATCAATGTCACTGAATTATTGTTTTCATCTAGTTTCTTACTCCATTTATCCCATACTGGCATACCCTTAATCGTCTCTGCATTGTTCCAGAGATGATCTGTGACGGTCGGCGTTGACACATAGGCAATCCGCTCATTAACATCGCGAAGAAACGACATTCTCTTGTGAGGACTCCAAAACATGGGATGTTGCAAAACTTGACTGGTACTAAAACTGTTTTAGCAAATAAACAGACAAACAATTAGATACTTTGTCATTTCTTTCACAATTTTTTAAAAATGTAAAATATGACATTACTGGTTAAGAGGTTCTTTGTCCAATAAGTTGGTAACAAGGTGGTATGCTTCAGGAGTAACTTCCTTTGGCTGCAACTGGATCATGTTCCATTTGATCTTTTGATCAATTTTACATCCACGTGTACCATCATTGAACATGTGTTTGTCAGTGATAATATAAGACATTATGCAACATAGGTTTCTTTTTCCTCGAGGAACTGGTCACGAGCTTTCCAATCCCCCTGAATACCATCTGTTATAGTCATTTGATAAGCACATAAGTACAAGAAGAGAAAAACTGTGAGGTTGATACGTGTATAAATCATTGCGTCTATCAAAGGTATCTAGAAAGAAAACGTTTACCCAAGAGGGTAACATTTGAGTTTGTGATAGCACGTAAGTTTTCATAGGCTAATAAATACAGTTAAACTCTATCATCATTCAAAATACTTGATACCGGATGATTTAAAAGTGAGATCATATTAAATCAAGATTCTATTGTTTTGTTGGAGGTCACGATGTCGTATCTTCACCAGTTCCTTTATGGATCTCATTCATGGTCGACGTTTGGAAAACATATTTGTTGGCTCCAAATGCTTCCATTCCTAATCTCTGTTTTTTTTTTTAAATTGCGTTGGATTGTTATAGGTCAGGTCAAAGATCTTGAGCTTCGAGTCTACGGATACAAGATCGTGCGAGTCGGCTCTAGCCAAAGTATTAATATGTTAAACTACTCAAACATGTTTTTCAAAGTTGATCATCGAGCATGACAGAAGGTTTTGAAGTTCTATATACAAAAGGTTAATTTATCCCAAACAAAATCATTTATTTTCTAAATGTATTTTTAAGTTTTAACTAACTTTTCGTGACCAAATTTGCAGTTACCAAACGAAAGGAAAACAAATGAGTAAAGGCACAAATAACAAGTTCTAAATAAGAGCCAGAAATTGGTGAACACATGCCTATACCATGTGGTTTTTGAAAATTACCTTAAATAAGTATTTTCCATGTTCTCTCAAGAAAAAAAAAAGATTGTCAAATAAAAAGATTTACACTCTTAAGTTAAGTAAAGAAAGATAGAATAGGCTTATGGTATGGATACCATTGGGTTGAGAGAGTTGGTTGAAGCATGAGAATCATCTTAACGTGACAAGGTAGATTCAGTTCTTCATGTTTTGTGTTTTGGTAGTGGGTTTATGTCTCTTTCAAATACTGCTAAAATACAATAACAAATAATTGAAACATAAAGAATTAGCTTACCGTTTGACTTGTGTAGTCGAATACAAAGAAGATTTTTTATTCCGTTAATAGAGGTGTAGCAGAAGAAAAAGGATGAAGACTTTCAACATAAGAAAAACAAATCATTTCTGTAGGAGTATAACGAAAACCAAATCAAATAATAAGCCATAGCCAAATTTAGACTGATTGCTTACCAAAGGCAACTTCTAATGCCAAATAATAATTTGTTCTATTATTCAACATGAAAGAGACAAACCAAGATTAGCAAATACTTCTTTACATGTTTTTTGAATCATTTCCATTCTAAATGTAGAGAGATCTGTTAATTTTTTTTTATTTATTGTTGTAAAACATTTTTTCGTATCTAACGTATGGAAAGACTATTCTCTCATAAAGATATATACATTGTATTGTTTAGCAAAAAAATAAAATAAAATATAGACATTGTATAGAGCATGATTTTTTTTTAATTTAAGTTCAACTTTAAATTGAAACTACAGAGTTTTTTCATATAAATTAATAAAAAAAAGAAAACTAAATAAAACAAGTGAAATTGGTAAGTATAACCTTAAAAAAAATTAAAACATAATAATTAAGCAAAACTCCCTATGTGACACTAATCATAGCCACTAATTTTAGAGTTTTTGGTTAGTTATTATGTTTTAATAATTTTGAGAAATTTCAAAATATACCACTTTTCAAGTGCTACTTTACAAAAATGTCAGTCACACTTTTGAAATCTTTACAAAAATGCCACTTTTCAAAATTATTATTTCTTTATATTATTTATGTTTTGATTAATTGTGTTCTATTAGGATTTAGTTATGAAGGTTTAGGGGGGTCTAGGGGTCAAAACATTT